TTTCCAGAGAAACTGCACCCTCCGGTGACTAATTACTTAAAAATACAGCATTCCTCAGGGAGGAGAAGTTTTAAATAAACCTGCAAAATAGGTAACACAAGCACGCGGCTAATTTTTACATACGGGAGGAAAAAGGTCGGGGGGTGTGGAGGGGGGAAAGGATGCAGGAGGATGGAAGAATTTAGCACAAGAATCTGTGTTCTAGTCTTGTACTAAATAGTTCCAGCTTTGATCTAAATTTAGGCAACGAGCACTTCCTGTGGGAGACCGTCTTCCAAAGCTGAAGAGTTTTTGATGCTAAATATTTGCAGTGATTTTATAATTGGGGTAAAGTGGTTATTTGTTTTAAGGCCCGGCCTTCAGCTAGATAAACGCTTACATTATTTTATATTCCCCACCATTTCCTCTCCTACTCCACGTTGGACTTCTGTTTATTCAGTTCCAGGTTCCACTGCATTTTAAGTAGGTTTTAAAACTCTTTATTTACAACCAAAGGGAGCAACAAAAGCCCTTCTGTCATTACCCAGCAGCCTTCCATCACAGCTGTGGGACTGGCTTCTCCGTACCTCGGCACTGCGGAAGCCCAAGCCCTTCAGCCCATACCACTTCATCGAGACTCCTGCACCGCTCCGTGGTCTTCTGAAGAGACCCAACTCTCAGCCCTTCCTGTACCTCCAGTTCCTCTCTCCTGGGACACAATCCCCACCTTCAGAATTTAAGAAAAGGCAATACACACAGAATAATAGAATGGTTTGGGTTGGAAGGGACCTTAAAGATCATGGAGTTCCAACCCCCTGCCCTGGGCAGGGACACCTCCCACCAGACCAGGTTGCTCCAAGCCCCATCCAGCCTGGCCTTGAACCCCTCCAGGGATGGGGCAGCCACAGCTTCTCTGGGCAACCTGGGCCAGGCTCTCACCATCCTCACAGCAAAGAATTTCTTCCTGAGATCTCATCTCAATCTCCCCTCTTTCAGTTTAAAACCCTTCCCCCTCGTCCTATGGCTCCCCTCCCTGATCCAGAGTCCCTCCCCATCTCTCCTGGAGCCCCGTGAGGGACTGGAAGGGGCTCTAAGGTCTCCCCAGAGCCTTCTCTTCTCCAGGCTGAACAACCCCAACTCTCTCAGCCTGTCCTCACAGCAGAGGGGCTCTAGCCCTCTGAGCATCTCCGTGGCCTCCTCTGGCCCCGCTCCAACAGGTCCATGTCCTTCCTGTGCTGAGGACTCCAGAGCTGGACACAGAGCTCCAGGTGGTGTCTCCCCAGAGCGGAGCAGAGGGGCAGAATCCCCCCCTGGCCCTGCTGGCCACGCTGCTGGGGATGCAGCCCAGGATGGGGTGGCTTTCTGGGCTGCCAGGACATGTTGACAGCGAGGGGCAGAATCCCCCCCTGGCCCTGCTGGCCACGCTGCTGGGGATGCAGCCCAGGATGGGGGTGGCTCTCTGGGCTGCCAGCGCACGTTGACAGCTTATGTTGAGCTTCTCATCTGCCCATCCGTACTTGGTACTCCAACCCCCTCAACCCCAACACCACATCTAAATGGTTCTTAAACACAGCCAGGGATGGTGACTCAACCACCTCCCTGGGCAGCCTATTCCAATGCCCTACCACTCTCTCTCTGAAGAATTGTTTCCTAGCTTCTCATCTGCCCATCCATAGTCGGTACTCCAACCCCCTCACACCCCTCCCTTGACCTCAGAAACATGAAAGCTAAAAATAAAAAATGAACAGACTATTCACTTTTCAAAGTTCATAATACTGGGGACCTGATTTTCAAATGCTTGAGGTTGGCAACGCTTGTAGACACTGAAGTCTCTTTCTTCCAGGTGAGTCTTATAGCTACGTGTTTACATTTAGGGTGAGACACAACTTGCCTATCTTTAGTCATGAAAAAGTAAGGCAGCCAGTTTAAACTAGTCATCTGGGCCACCACTAGTCAACGGGAACATCACTGGAGAGCAGCCTCCCTCCCTAGTTAGGCACACATTAAGATAAGATAAAACAAATCCCGGAGTATTTTTCCACCAATGATAAAAGGAGCCCATAGGACTACTACTAGACAGACACCTTCTAGATGGAACAAAACCCACTCTCAGTGAGCTCCCAAGTTAAGCTGTTTCTTTTCTACTCCACAGAGATCATCAAAGAGGAAATTTAAATTCTTTTAGAAATTTCATTTCTGGGACTAAACCATCTGAAGGCCATGATTTTGATCTACATAGAGAGGACATTTTCTTTTTTTTTGGTGATTACCAAATTCTACATTCTTGTCTGGTATCAAATACTGAGCGCTGAAGGATCTCTGCCTTCAATCCAGGTGGAGGATCTGAACTAGGAATTGCAATCTATTAGCTATTTTTAGAATAGTTTATTCTTGCCAGTTTAGCTGTGAATTTCTTTACCTCTGTGTTTTTCTAGCCTAACAAAGCCTAAGTTCCCACAGAGAATCCAAGCCCTCCCTCTACAGGCACTACGAAATAGCAGCTCTATTCAGAACTGAACCAACATCCAGGCTGGAGGAGAAATCCCTGCAGAAATTAGTATAATCTGGCTCAGTTTCCCCCTAAAGCACAGGAAGGGCTGAAAAACCACAATTGCTCCTACATAATGGCAATAGCTGTCAAATAGTGTTGAAAGAGGAGAAGTGAAGTAACCTTAGGAGACGCCTGGATAACGGGGATGTTAATAAAGCTGCATCCACACTCTAGCAGCGTGTTTGGCCTCTCTGTTTTGTGGTTATAACCACTGTTGAAAGAACTGTCTACTGGTTAGAGACTGCTCAAAGGGCAAAGGGAAAAATCAAAATCCAATGGTGTGACCTCGGGCTGAGAAAATATTGTCTATCCCTCCTCCTTGTAAATAGAAAATACATTAAAAAGTATTTATATACACACAATAACAAAAAATACAATAGATTCCCCAAAATAAATGAGCTCAAACCCAGTCCACATGTTAAAAAAACACAATATTTGAAAAGTGAAAGATACGTTTGTGAATTAGAGTCATGAAGGTTTGCACAGTGTAGGATCTGATCATGATTTACAAACTAAGGCTTCACGCCCAGGGCACTGCCTTGGGATTAATGAGCAGCTGGGAGAGTTGATAGTGTAGGACAAAGCTAAGGATCATTAACTCCAGCTAGTTATAAACTCCCCAGAAAATGCCTTATACTGAAATTGATATTGTAATTACCCATTTTATAAATAAAATGAGCAGTAGTATCGAAGTAGCAAATTGCTTTCGCTGCGTCCCTTTTTCTTGCAGAGCTCTGAAAACTGGCACATTCTGGGGGATGTGAACCTGGTGCTTTTTGAAAGTGAATTCTGCGTGGAAGCCAGTGAGATGGCACTTTTTAGCGTAGGTCCTAACAACAGTTATTAGTATTTTGGGCAGCAGAGCAACAAGCAATCTTGCACAGAATGCCAAGAAAACCCAAATGCCAAATTCAACGCAGATAACCTTGCAGAGGGAGACCTGATCTCTGCACTGAACAACTCCACTTGGGGTCGAATATCAAAAATTTTAAGCAAAAAATACCAAACAACAACCACCTCCCCAGTTGGCACAGAAACAAGGGAGGTCTATATGCCTTGAGCTTTATCTGCAGATCAAGCATCGGGCAAAGACCAGTAAAGCAAAGTTGGTACCAGTCCTTTCAAACAACTCCTGTCCTTGAGCATGAAACTGCTTTACACAGGACCAAGGAAGATGCTCCGAGGGCTGGAGCCCCTCTGCTGTGAGGACAGGCTGAGAGAGTTGGGGGGGTTCAGCCTGGAGAAGAGAAGGCTCCAGGGAGACCTTAGAGCCCCTTCCAGTCCCTAAAGGAGCTCCAGGAGAGATGGGGAGGGACTCTGGATCAGGGAGGGAAGCCACAGGATGAGGGGCAATGGTTTTAAACTAGAGCAGGGTAGGTTTAAATTAGACATTAGGAAGAAGCTCCTCATGAGGGTGGTGAGACACTGGAACAGGTGAGACACTGGAGAGGTGATGGAGGCCCCATCCCTGGAGACATTCAAGGTCAGGCTTGATGAGGCTCTGAGCAGCCTGATCTAGCTCAAGATGTCACTGCTCGTTGCAAGGGGGTTGGACTAGATGACCTTAAAGGGCCCCTTCCAACCCAACACATTCTCTGATCATAGAATCATAGAACGGTTTGGGTTGGAAGGGACCTCAAAGATCATCGAGTTCCAACCCCCCTGCCCTGGGCAGGGACACCTCCCACCAGACCAGGTTGCTCCAAGCCCCATCCAGCCTGGCCTTGAACCCCTCCAGGGATGGGGCAGCCACAACTTCCCTGGGCAACCTGTTCCAGTGTCTCACCACCCTCATAGTAAAAAAGTTCTTCCTGAGATCTAATCTGAATCTTTTTTCTTCCAATTTAAAACCGTTTCCCCTTGTCCTATCATTACCATTCCTGGCAAAGGGTCCTTCTGCAGCTCTTCTGTACGCACCCTTCAGGTATTGAAAGGCCGCTATAAGGTCTCCCCAGAGCCTTCTCTTCTCCAGGCTGAACAATCCCAGCTCCCTCAGCCTGTCTTCATAGGAGAGGTGCTCCAACCCTCTGATCCTACGATTCTACATGGGAGAGGCCTAGCTGCTACGCTGGGCTAGGCCAAGAGCGCATCTCACCCACAGCAGCTCAACAACAGCCTAGGAAAAGCTGTAAATAGTAAATAAACTCTCATTAACCAAGCTCAACAACAGCCTAGGAAAAGCTGTAAATAAGCTCTCATTAACCAACAGTTAGGAGTATTATCTCTTTGACTCTGCTGGGAAAGGTTCCCCAGTGTTCAGTCCCTGCGTTCTCCCATCTCCTCCCAGGCAGGGTCTGGTCTTTTAGACAGAGCGATGACCACAACTTAGTAACGCCAACTGGAAAACTGAGTGAAGACTGCATTTCAGAAGACAGGGAAATAGCCTCCTGAAGGGTCAAGAAATTAGATCAGAGGGCAGAAATGCAGGCCTAGAACATCTCATTCACACGTGACGCAAAGATTTGCTTACCTGTTCGTTAGGCTCAAAGCTTATCTCTTCTTTTTCTGGCCTCATAGCTATCAACTTTGTGCTACCGGAAGGGTCTGTCTTACTGTCCAACCGCTCCAGTTTTGGGGGTATGTCTGGTAAACCAATATCTTTAGTATCATCTTTATCTAGCAAGTAGCGAAGTAGTGCATTATTATTCTTCTTAGGACTCGCTGGCTCCTGTTTAACAGTCACCTCTGAACCGGGAGCTGTGCTACTGGACTCCTGGTTCAGTTCTTTGCCTGTGGCCTCGGCCGTGAGCTTGGCCAAATCTACAGGAGAACTACTGTCCTGCAATAGTCTGTGCAAAATTTTATGCTTCTCCTTGAGCGAGGTTCCGTGTGCTGAACCAGACCCAGGCAACCCTCCCGCGGAGTCCTTGCTAACGTCTCCCAAAGTACTGGACAAAGGCGAAGGCTCCATCTGATCCGATTTGGTGGTCAGCAACTGTAATAGCTTTGTCTGGCTTTTTCCATCGTGCAGTTTATTCTGTCCATCGGGCCTCTCGCCGCTGACGACCGGTGGCAGGTTGCTCTCGCTGTTGTCTTTCTGTTCTCCTGAATGGCAGCTGCCCTCTGCTTGTCCAGTTGTACCTTCCGATTGCTCCCCGTAGAGTCCAAAGCAGTCTTTAGAGTCCAGGCTTCCCATCTTGCTCAGCTGGGGAGGATTCATATTCACAGGGGAATTTTGCAAATTTCCCATTTTTAGGTCAGGTGAAGCCAACGACGATCCTAGAGAAACGCCGTGGCCCTCGCTGAGGGCCTGAAGGGCGTTCAGGGAACTGTTGGTGTAGTTATGGCTATTTCCTGTGCTGCTGCAGACTCCCACGGGCGAATGCAAGCTTCCTGCAGGGGAGAACTGGCTGGGTGGGATGCGAGGGCTTCCTGCCACTCCAGGGCTCACACGATGCCTCGGGGAAAGCATAGAGTTTGGCTGCCCCGGGTTCATGCCGGGGCTGCTTTGTGAGGGGCTATTCATTTTTAGTGCATAGTTACTACCCTGAGGAGTGGATGCTTGGATGCTCGAGACATGGTTCATTCCCCCTGAACCACCGAACCTGCCTGCTGGCATGCCCATTTGTTCCTTTGGGCCATTTATGGCAAAATTTATATTGCTACTGATGGTCATATCCTGACCTGGGTTCCCACTGCACATGGCCTGATGGGCAGGGCTGCTGGAGCTGATCGGGTTCAGGATCTTCCCCATCCCTTGTCCAGTCAAATCCTGATTCATTCCGCAGACGTTCTGCTCTCTACGAGGGCAAGGGGAAGAAAAACAAGGCGTGAGCTAAAATGACAGCGGCCGACTCGCCATTGCATTGCAGAAAAAAGAAGCAAAACCCTTTAAAATAACACAACAAACCTACAACTAAAAACAAATTGACCATTTGACAAAAGCGACGTGCAACTCTTGACATGGCTGCACGTTAACAGTAGGGTTTTTCAGTACCTTATTAACAAATCAGCGGAAGAGAGGGAAAACAAAATTACACCTCATTTAAATGACAGTCATCAGAAATGCAGGGAGGTTACAGCTTCAGACTCTCTCCCCTTTCATGTATATCCCCAGTCCAGTTCTGGGCTCCCCAGTTCAAGAGGGACAGGGAACTACTGGAAAGAGTCCAGCGTAGGGCTACAAAGATGATTCAAGGACTGGAGCATCTCCCTTATGAGGAGAGACTGAGAGAGCTGGGACTCTTTAGTCTGGAGAAGAGACCTTAGTAATGCCTACAAGTATCTCAAGGGCGGGCTGAGGGAGGAGGGAACCAGACTCTTTTCAGTAGTTGCCAGTGAGAGGATGAGGGGCAACGGGCACAAGTTGGAACATCAAGGGTTCCACTTGAATATGAGGAAGAACTTTTTCACGGTGAGGGTGACAGAGCCCTGGAACAGGCTGCCCAGGGAGGGTGTGGAGTCCCCTTCTTTGGAGATCTTCAAGCCCCGCCTGGATGCTCCTGAGTAACATGCTCTGACAAGCTCTGGGTGGTCCTGCTTCAGCAGGGGAGTTGGACTAGATGATCTCTATGGTCCCTTCCAACTCTAAAAATTCAGTGGAATTCAGTGAAATCCCCTCTCTACAATTTGGCAAGAGCCAGAACGGACAGAAATCTCATCTGAAATGCACAACCCAAACAGATGCATGTTTTACAGGCCAGCTGTGGACAGCTGTTTGCCTGAGTTTTGAATTTCTAGGGGTCAGCCCCACTGCAAGGCTGGGGAGGGCTATTTGCCCACCCAGTTCATAGCAAGAAGAAAGTTGAACAAGTCCCATTTCTGGACTGCTGGAGCACTGCAGTGCTGCTCCAAACCAAACTGCCAGCCAAGGGAACTACTGGATCCTGCTCCAGGATGGGAAGAGGCTGCAGCAATCCAGTCCTGCACGAGCGTTTAGGAAAAGAAGGGAAAAAAGAACCCACCCCCACTCCTCAAGAGCTGAAGCTCATATTTTAGAGATGTAGGCTGTAAGAGGGAAGAAACAGAACAGAGACACACACAGAGAAAAACCTCCTGTGAGAGCACCTGAAGGTCATTTCTCTTTTCTTCAGGAGATTTTAATTAGTCTATAGGAGGATGGGATATACTTTCTACTCCTATGCTAAAAATTAAATCGGAAAACTCAGACCTATTCCTAAATGTTAAAAGCTATAAAAGAGAGACAGTCTCAAGTAGATGAGGAAGTTAAAAAAAAAAAATGAGGTTCTGAGAAAAAATTCAATTCAACTCCGGACTTCCAAACCCAAATACTAATGGAACATTCCTAATATGTATTTTCGATGAGATGAAAACCATTGCAAAGGAAAAGCGCAGAGAAACCTTCGCGTTTTGCTAAAGCAGCAGAAGTGGCAGAACTGAAGGACACAGAGCAGTGAAGCTTCTCCCTCTCTATTTATTACCTCAGGTATAAAGGCAAATGTGAAGAACATTAACTATAAAAAGAGAGGTGGATTTTTAAAACCTTATTACAAATACAATAGTATCAGTGTTCTGCTAAAAAAAAAAAAAAGGCAAGAATACTTGCGAGTACCATTTTTAACTTAATGGTGCTTTTTAAATTTCAAATTTAGCACTTCCTGAAATACCAAGTATATTCAGCAATCCAATGAAAACAAAGTTCAGACAGCTTTTGGTCAGGTCCATTTCAAAATCTACACTCTCTGTAAAATGGTTTCAGTTTTAATGACATTTAGAGCTGTTTTCTTCCTCCCGAAAAAGTGATGCTGTGGATACAGGGAAACAGCATTGTCATTATAATCAGCAAAGAAAACCTGGAAAATAATCTGACACAAATATACCAGGACATGCAATGGCTCGATTCCAATTCTACATTAAGGTTCTGAGGTGAGTGATTATTTATCCTTGATTTTAACATATTATTGTCTGTGCCTTTTTTAAAAATAAAACCCAATAGTGGTGGCATTTCTCAGGATTGGACACGTGACAGTCACTACTCCAAGCACCAGAAATGACAAGGAATGAAGAGAGACGAGGAGTTAAAATAATGCAGTTTGTCTAAAATGCAGTTTTAATCGGCAGATCATATTCTTTATGAAGTCCCAACATGTGACTGACTGTCAACAACAGGAATTTCAACATGCAGTTTGTCTAAAATGCAGTTTTAATCGTCAGATCATATTCTTTAAAGAAGACCCAACATATGACTGACTGTCAACAACAGGAATTTCAATCCTTCAAAGTTGTCTAAATCTAAGTACATTTGGAAAAGTTTCTTCTGCCTACAATGCAAAATACAGGAAATTAAAAGACTGAAATCAAGAACATGAGATTAAAGGAAATGTTGTACGTTTAATGGGAAGATCTTGATGTGAAAATCACAGCGTGCCGTTTGTAAGTCCCAAAGTAATCTCTTTTCCTGCTGTAAGCACTGAATTCCTAAACTTATTTCGTTGTCATGCGATTAGTTGTGGGTCAAGGGAACGTTTCTCGGCCTCCATCTATTTGCTTTGGCAACTCTTTGCTTTCCCCTTCTCTCTGGAGAGCGCGGACGCGATAGAGGCGCGAGGAGGTTACCTGTGAAGCATATGCAAGGAGATGACAAGCTGAGGTTCGCTGGTCGTCTGGGAACGGATGAGCTTGCTCTTCGTTTGGGCCGAAACGATGGTGCCGTCAGACAAGGAAAACCGATAAACAGGACTGAATGCCAGTCCCTGCCTCAGCACTGCAAGCAAGCAAAAAAGACCAAAATTACATTAATGAGCAACTCTAGGAGAGGTAGCTCAGTTGCTCAACGACTCGATGTTCTACATCCATCAGCGCAAACGCTGCGTTCGTTAAAATAAAAATAAATTTTGAGAATAAATAGATGGGATGCACCTATAATAACCTCAATACAAGAGAGATCTGGAGGTGCTGGAGCGAGCGCAGAGGAGGCAACGAAGCTGGTGAGGGGGCTGGAAAACAAATCGTATGAGGAGCGGCTGAGGGAGCTGGGACTGTTTAGTCTGAGGAAGAGGAGGCTGAGGGGAGACCTCATCACTCTCTACAACTACTTGAAAGGACACTGGAGAGAGGTTGGTGCTGGTCTCTTCTTACAGGGAATTAGTGACAGAACGAGAGGGAACGGCTTCAAGCTCCAACAGGGTAGGTTTAGACTGAACATTAGGAAGGAATTTTTCACCGAAAGAGTGGTCGGGCATTGGAACAGGGTGGCCAGGGAGGGGGGGGAGGCCCCATCCCTGGCTGTGTTTAAGGGCCGTTTAGATGCAGTGCTGAGGGACATGGCGTAGGGGAGGACTTTGGAGAGTAGGGGAGATGGTTGGACTCGATGATCCCAAGGGTCTCTACCATCCGAGACCATTCTATGATTCTATAAATAAAGGATCCCACACACTGCAAGGTGATCAAAAGAAACCCTATAAGGAGTGACAGCAATCACGGGACAGACACTATGAAATACAGAATATTTCAGGAGTGGACCAAGAAGCCCTCAATGTCTGTTTCACTTTTCATCAAGTATGTGTCTAACTCCTTTTGTTCCTCCTAAGTTTTTTCATCTGCACCATCTACATCACCATGATTAATATAAATGCCCTTAGTTTCTAAATCATCTGTTTCCATTAGCCTGTATCTTTTCCTCCTTATTGCCTGCTTAAATTATCTTAGAGCAGTTACTCTCACTACTACTTTAATTTAAGAAGTACATAAATCTTTTGCATGGGAACAACTAGAAATGAGAAGAACTGGAAAAAAAAGAAATGATTACTTTTTAAAGAAGAAATACAGAAATATAAAGCTCAGACAAATTACAAATGCAATTAGCTAAGCTGGAATTGGGGCTGTGCTATCATTCCCCAGTGTTAGATACATCTGAATTTCAGGTTTGAGGTTGACCTCGCTGCACATATTCCACAGCCCTTCACTTTTCAGTGTAAATGTGAACTTCAACAAATGCAGTTCCCTAACTTCTGTAGCCCCCTGTGACATTTCTTTAAGCAGAAATGAAAGTGATGCCACGGAAAAGCAGAATCTGCAAACGTTTATTTCTACTGGTCGCTCTTCGCCATCAATGAAACGAACGTGATCGTTTTCAATCCCCTGTCCAAAAGCTGCTCCGTTGGGATTGCAGAGATGGCAGGAGGGAAATACTTAACTTCAGAATTTTCATTAAATTGTTTAGAGAAAAAATAGGAACGAAGCACTACAAATACTTTTAATTTCCTCTTTTTTCATGCATCCACATTTTCTGTGGTTTGTGCTTTTCTGTTTTTTTTTTTTCATCTTTAATTAATAATATCATCTGATCTTTGTTTCATTGCTTGTCTTTTAATATTTCCTGTTGTAATGAAATGACACGGGTTTCCAAGTGTGGCTTTATTAAATAGTCTCCTCCACAGAGCTACCAGCTTCCCAGCCTTGCAGTTCTGGTTACGATTGCTTTCCTTCCCTCTCCCCCCCCCACTGTCATATATTGTTCTGCCAGGTCCTAAAGTATTATTTAGGCAGTGAGAAAACAGGAAGCACAATTTAAACAACCCGAAGGGGGTTTTCAGAGTAAAAATGTAAAGAAAAACAAAAACCTACAACCATGAAACAATACAAAGCAGAATTTCACTGTTAGGTATGTCATTGTTTCAGTTTAACCTTTGGGCACCAGAAGGTCCAAAGCTCTTAACTTTAGCATATACCACCTCAGGAAATTCCAGTACTCAATGCCAACAGGATACAAGTGAAATCTCTACTTAAATCATTTTCCAAACTAATTCTTTAAGCAAACAAGAATGTTTCCGTATTCCTCTTGAGGAAATGCTATTTTTCTGACTGCGGCCAATAAAAACTTACCATATATTTTGCACTTTATGCTGAGATTTAATTTGAAAGCTCTGTGGCTTTTGTCTTTATCAAGCTAATGCTGATTTTTTTCTTCACACAGTAACACATGGAGGAGACCATTACTTGTTCTTTGCTTCTATTCTCTAACCATAATGACTTAAAAAATGCAAGGGGTCCTGCAATCAAGTGCAAAGATGCTACTGCCCAAGATCTGCCTTGTTTTTCTCCTCCATGCTGCAGGGCAGGGGAAGGAAACATTTCAGCCATCGCTCCTCTCTAGTACTGGATCTTTGGCAAAAAAGCAATTTCAGACGTTTTTCCCTCCTCCAATCTCTTCACTTCCACAAGAAGTAAAGAGTCCAGCCTCACTTAGACTAATTCTACAGTTTAGTCGATGATCCTAAGTGTCTGCTGCAAAACCATACAGTGGAAACTCCAAAACAGGTATATTTTTATCACTTCACAGGTAGCTTAGAGAGGAGTCACTCCGATCTCAGCACTGGATGTAGGAGCTCCTAATTTGCTCAGGAATCGTTTGAAGAGGACTGATGTAATAAGTGCCTGGAGGCCAAACCAGAAACTCCTAAATCACCTTTGGCAGAGACAGGTCCTTACCTGAAACTGCTCTCTAAGCCCCTGCTGTAAATTCAATTTCAGCTTAACTTCAGTTCTGTCCGAAATCACAGCAGGAGACTGTGAACTTTGAAGGTTTCATGAAAGCAGAACATATTCAAAAATATTTAATTAATGCCACATGACTAAAGCTTTTCTTTTTTTAATTTTTTTGGGGTGTACTTGATGGAATAACTTGAGATTCCAACTACAATTTAGTTTCCAAGACAGCATGGCAGATGTTTAATGACCATGGCAACTATTTGGTACAGGCCAGCTGTAAACCCTGTTCTACAGACACGAACCCAAAGAATGATGCTCCTGCGTTTGAGTTATTCCCCACTGGTTTTGAAAGGACTTTCCAGCGGACAATAAAGAGTTATTTGTTCTTAGTACTTTGCCTCTGTGTTACTAGAGTTAGCGGTATCGGGGTTTTATAAAGAGAAAAATCCCCACCCAGTCGCTACCACAGAAACCTCCTGGGGAACCTTCCACAGTGTGGTACTCCCCTAGATCTCCATAATCCTGACTGCGTAGATGTGCTTGTGGTGTATCTGGAGGTCTGGAGCCCTCAATATAAGAAGGACATGGACCTGATGGAGAGGGTCCAGAGGAGGGCCACAAGGATGATCAGGGGGATGGAGCACCTCTGCTACGAGGACAGGCTGAGGGAGCTGGGGTTATTCAGCCTGGAGAAGAGGAGGCTCCGGGAGGACCTAATAGCGGCCTTCCAGTACCTGAAGGGAGCCTACAGGAAGGCTGGGGAGAGCCTGTTTACAAAGGCCTGCAGTGACAGGACAAGGGGAAATGGCTTCAAGCTGGAGGGGAACAGCTTTAGACTGGAGATGAGGAGAGGGTTCTTCACTGTGAGGGTGGTGGAGCACTGGAACAGGTTGCCCAGGGAGGTGGTTGAGGCCCCATCCCTGGAGATATTCAAGGAGAGGCTCGACGAGGCCCTGGGCAACCTGGTCTAGTTGGGGGTGTCCCTGCTGACTGCGGGGGGGTCGGACTAGATGGCCTTTGGAGGTCCCTTCCGGCCTGGGCAATTCTATATTTCTATGATTCTATAGCCATTATCAGCCAGATACAGTACCATGATGTTGGTTTCCAGTGCTTCAGCTCTGGTAATTCACACCCAGTGCTTCTCACGGGAAATGGGACAATAAGAGTCCATTTTCGTAGAGAAAAGGAATACAGGTCAATGAAGGGCCATGTGTGAGTTGAGGTTCTGAAGAATAATGGGCAGTGAATGTTTTGGTGGGCAACACTCAGGGGTCTTTCTTTCTTTCTAAACTAATTTAGAAATTTGGGCCCCTCACCACAAAAAAGACATTGAGGGGCTGGAGTGGGTCCAGAGAAGGGCAACGGAGCTGGTGAGGGGTCTGGAGCACAAGGAGAAGGGGCTGAAGACCTTGTGAGGAGCAGCTGAGGGAGCTGGGGGTGTTCAGCCTGGAGAAAAGGAGGCTGAGGGGAGACCTTCTCGCTCTCTCCAACTCCCTGAAAGGAGGGTGTAGCCGGGGGGGGGTCGGTCTCTTCTCCCAAGGAACAGGCCATGGGACAAGAGGAAACAGCCTCAAGTTGCACCAGGGGAGGGTCAGATTGGAGATTAGGAACAATTTTTACACTGAAAGGGTTATTGTACATTGGAATGGGCTGCCCAGGGCAGTGGTGGAGGCACCATCCCTGGAGATATTTAAAAGATGGGTCGACATGGTGCTTAGAGACATGGTTTGGTGATGTTTGGTTTTTTAATCAGAGTTAGGTTGATGGTTGGACTTGATGATCTGGAAGGTCCCTTCCAACCCAGGCAATTCTATGATTCTGTGATTCTATGATTCTAATTGTGACAATTTGAAGATTTAAAGCAGCCTCCAATATAAGCAGTTATAACTGGGAGAAAGGTGCAAAACCTCTCTAGAGAGAGCCATAACGTGTCAGGCAAATCAGCTGGAGAAAGAGACTGTCAGTAGCCCTTGATTGCTCCATGTAAACACAACAAAGAGAACACAACCCAGAGATACCAATGACAAACAGTTTAAATATAGAAAGTGCTAAAAATATGAAACCTAACCTTCCTGGTGGTGCCTCTTGGCAAAAGATATTTCTCCCTCGTGCTGCGAATGGAACCTCTGAATGCACCTTCTCACCAAATCCTCCCAGCCAGGTTTCATAGCTGCTCGCATGGTGCTCGTGTCCAGTGAAGTTATTTTGCCTGATATCAGAGAAAACATTTGTTATAGCAATTTCCCCTTTGGGGAGGGGTAGGGAGAGGTGGGGGGGGTGAATAAAAAATTAAAACCTCCTGTTTCCCAATACCTTGTAGATCCTGGCGAGTAGTAAAGCTCTCTGATGAAGGAAGGAGAGGTCTTTCCTTCATTGGAGCTCTTCTTGCAACACAAATCAAGCAAGACTGCAAATCTTAAAGAAAAATGTAACTTCAGTAATTAGTACAGGAAGAGTCAGATTTTGCTTCCACAAAGAATTCAGAAATAGCTTTAAAAAGTTCTTTAAATCGCTTTGGACCAAAAGAATAAATTTTATACCAATATAAGGGCAGACAGAACTCAGTGGTTTTTCACCTTCATTATTTCTTACAACAGTAAACAACACAGAAGAGGTGGGTTTGTTTTCTTTTTTAGAAGAAAAATTATCAAGGACTCCATCAGAGCCCAAAATTACTGGCACATGTTTACACATGTATCTGTAGCAGCTCAACCACTCAGGAGGTAAGTCATAAACATACATATACATAAACATAAATACACAGCATGTACAGGGAGCATGTTTCTTCAACTCTCCCCATTTTGTACTTTCTAAGCCCTGTTTCTTAAACATGCCCCAAATTACTCGCTGTCCCTGAGAAAGCAGCTTCAAAATAAGCCATTTTTTTTAACTTATCTGAATACTCAAAATACAATCTCAGGAAATCTACCTGCTGAAGTAGTAAATGGCAAAGGAAATGGTAAACCACGATTGTCTTCAAATTCTAAGAACTCCAAAAAAAAATACTAAAATTGCCCATTGAAACTTTCCTCCCAGTCAGCTACATTCTTCTTACAACTGCAGTGATATCAAACTAGGGGATCTCTTCAGAGTAAACAGGGTTTCTCCCAATTTCAATCATATTCATGTAACAAACAGGTGTGTGCAAGTGTATACACTCTTAAGCAAAGATGAAAGCTGAATTAAGAAGGAAAAAAAAACCTACAATTTTTCAATTTTTCAGGATTTAGAAGCCACTTTCCCGACTTGACCTCACTTCATCAACTGCACCTAAACTGCTGACCCTCAAGAGCGTGGAAAGAGAAAATAGGACCCCAAATGGAAAGCCTTAATTACCTTCACCGTCCTCCTTGAAGGAATTTGGTTGAGAAACAGCAAAGCACTGCATAGTTTCGTATTTCTGATGTGCTTCCTGGTTATCATGGCCTTCCTCAGAATCAGCCAGAGGTTTCACCAGCATCCGACAGTTAAAGGTATGGCTGTTACGCCGAGGAGTGTCCCCAGACCAAGATCCTCCGTTCACTGAGCGAAGCAAAGATGACAGAGTGAGATAAATCTGGTAGCAGTCATTTCTGCTGCTCATCCACAGGAAATTAATCAAGGTGCTTCGCAGACGGGTTGGAAAACAAGCTCCTTTCACAACAACAATCTATTTTTAATATTGGGAGTCCAAACCAGCACAGAACAACGTAATTTATAAAATTCTCATATTTTAAGGCCACTGCTGATTTGTTCAGCACTGCTGATTGTTCATGCTTTTTTTTTTTTTAAGTGTCTTTTAAAGACGTAGTGGAAAAGCTTGAAAAAAGTCTAAATATTGGTGCATGTAAAAGTTTTACAGCACAGTGAAAAGCCTACTGGGTAGATCAAGTTAATTTACATGCCATGAATAAATAAGACAGTATGTGGGATCTGTCCAGTGAATTTAAAAGTAATTAATACAAATTAATAAAACAGCAGCATAGCCTACTGGGTAGATCAAGTTAATTTACATGCCATGAATAAATAAGACAGTATGTGGGATCTGTCCAGTGAATTTAAAAGTAATTAATACAAAGAAAACAGCAGCAATGTAGAAAAATCTGTGTCCAGATTAGAAATGGAAAGCAAAGAAACAAATGTGCATTTATAAAAATAAGAAACAATAAAATTGGGAATAAATTGAGACACACAGTGTTTCAGTGTCTCATCTACAAAAGGAAAGGTTGAGAATGACCTGGGTGCAGTGATGGATAAATCTAAAGCTTAAGGCAGTGCTTAAGACAAGTAAAAAAGGAAACAAAATCCTGAGATGCACAAATATAGGTACCTGACATCAGTCAGAGTGAATTAATGTAACACCACATAAGGAAATAACAGGGGCATATTTAAAATACTCTTCGCTTGCCCTCTTCAGTCATAAAATGCAATAAAGGCAGTAATTTATGGGGTTTAGCCATTTACATTTTTGATTGTTCAGGGGTTTATAAGTGAAGTCATAAAATGCTAAAGTGAATTGCATAATACTTTTTAAATGGCTGTGAGTAAATGAGGTGCCCAGTATCGACTTTCTCTTTCACCTCCTCCAAAAAACCAATGACATTAAAACCGATATTAATATTAATCCCAAAATGGCTGCAACTAACAAAAACCGTTTTTGAAAGATAAGAATGAATATTGGTGAGACTAAAAACACTACAATAAAAATTCTAACATAAGGAGCTGTCTGATTTTTCTTTTATATTCCCCCTTTTTGGGGCCATTCTTAGAATAAGCATCCTTGACCGAGAACTACCAGAGAGCTCACGCAGCTAATGCTGTCTTTTAGTGATTCACTCTGGAGATCCATTAAAAATATCAGCTAACATGAGTTACTAAGAGTAATTTTAACAAAGAAGAATCTGAAAAGAGCGGAGGATGCTTTTGAGAATAATATTAATCATTCATACAGCCTATATACACATTAAAAATAAATAGAGTGTATATGATGAAACTGTAAGTAGTGGAAGGACATTAAGTTAAGTTATTGAAACGCTGATTTATGCAACCAAAGTTAAATAAATAATGGCAGGATATGAGGAGAAGATACGTACCTAAAGATTTTGGCAGCAGGATTTTGACAAATTCATTGTGGTCCCCTACGTGCAGGATGCTATATATGCTTGTGTTCATCAGCTCTTCTTGGTTGTACCTCAGGTACTGTGTCACATTCTCAGAAACAAACACAACGTTACCTTCTGGGTTCACTACGAAGAAGAACCCATCCAGGGCCTAAAGGGGGAAGAAAAAAAACCAGAGAGGAAAGGAGAGAGAAAGAAAGATGGTATCAAACAATCAGATTAACAACAAGATACCCAGAAATTAAATATTCCTTTCAGAAGATATGGCTGAATCTTTCTGCATCCATCCCAGGTCTTATATTCTTGTCTGTAACGGCAAAGGACACACTTTGCATTGAGCATCTCATTGTACTTAAAACACTGTAAAAGCACAGAAAGGCACATGTCTTGTAAAGTAATGAAACCCACAGATGAAAATAAACCAAATCCCCTGCCTCAAACAAGTAAAAATAAATAATGGAAGAGAATCATAGAATCATTCAGGTTGGAAAAGACCCTTGGGATCATGGAGTCCAACCATCACTCTACAAAGTTCTCCCCTACACCATGTTCCCCAACACCACATCTAAACGGCCCTTAAACACGTTCAGGGATGGGGACTCAACCACCTCCCTGGGCAGCCTATTCCAGTGTCTGACCAAGAGGTTGCTACCCATCTACCTGCCTGTGAAGTAAGAAACCTGGACCAGAAGCTGGTTCTGCCAAACCTAGAGCCTGTCCGCTCCTCTACGCAGCACAGGGAGGCTGATCCCAGGAGAACATCCCAGGATGTGCTGGCACCAGGCAAGAAAAACACTGGCAGAAAGGAAAAGGCATCTCTCCCCATCATCTGCACAGAAGTGAGGCCCCACACAGCCAGGAACACAAGGGATCAAAAGCAGAGATGGGCAAAGGGAGCCGAGAAGGACCGGCGAGGATGGGGCAGAGCTTCAGTCCCCGCTCCCAGGGCTGCTTTCAGTTTTGGTATTATTTGACACCAGTTTAATTCAGTTCACATGTGATCCAGGGAACAGGAACCAGACTTTCACCTCTTCAGCTCAGCTCCGTGGTATTCCAAAGGACTTAAAAGTTTCTGCGAGGAAGTATCTAAATTAGTCATTCCTGCTGATTGGCTTCCCCCCTTTATCTCCTGCGACGGTGACAGCCCCAGCTACAGCATTCCTTCCGTGACATCTGCTGCCCCTTACCTGAAGATTAAACCAAATACTACATGGCTTCTACCTGATGAGAATAAAGTAAAATTTGAGTATCAGTAAGAACTTCTCATGCAAACTTTCTTTTCCTTGACATGCAAGCATGGCTGTGGGCGACAGAAATACTTCCGAATGCATCCCTCTAACTTTATTTCGTATGAGAAGACAAAGGGGGATCCATCTAAACTTAAAGCACCAAAGCTTTTGGTCTAAGCCTTCAATTAACAATTAACCCCTACAGACTTCTACAGCTTTGCCTGATCCATTCACCTCTTCAAGGAGAGGTATGAAATCACTAGAACAGCTGTTACTTATCGCATCTCCAGGGAGGGAATCAAGTCAGAAAAACAAGGCGTGATTCATTATGGGTTAATTAAAAGCGAGTGGATCCGTACTAGACCTGAGCTCAGAACAGTCTGAGAGGGTGGAGCTGCCACAGCAAGTGTGTACAGGTGTCTGCATTTTTGATATGACCAAACTATCTAAATTAGTCATTCCTGCTGATTGGCTTCCCCCCTTTATCTCCTGCGACGGTGACAGCCCCAGCTACAGCATTCCTTCCGTGACATTTGCTGCCCCTTACCTGAAGATGAAGCCAAATACTACATGGCTTCCACCTGATGAGAATAAACTAAAATTTGAGTATCAGCAAGAACTTCTCATGCAAACTTTCTTTTCCTTGACATGCAAGCATGGCTGTGGGCGACAGAAATACTTCTGAATACATCCCTCTAACTTTATTTCATATGAGCAGATAAAGGGGGATACATCTAAACTTAAAGCACCAAAGCTTTTGGTCTAAGCCTTCAATTAACAATGAACCCATACGGACTTCTGCAGCTTTGCCTGATATATTCACCTCTCCAAGGAGGGGTATGAAATCACTAGAACAGCTGTTAGTTATCGCATCTCCAGGGAGGGAATCAAGTCAGAAAAACAAGGCGTGATTCATTATGGGTTAATTAAAAGCGAGTGGATCCGTACTAGACCTGAGCTCAGAACAGTCTGAGAGGGTGGAGCTGCCACAGCAAGTGTGTACAGGTGTCTGCATTTTTGATATGACCAAACTCGCTGGTATTAGCTGGCAAGTCCTCAGGCTACAGACACGTATTAAAAATACTGCGCGCGGCTGAGCAAAGCCAGAGACTGCAGAAGGGAAGGGTATGGAGGGATCGTCCTTCTCTCTTCAGCCACCGAGCAGAAGGCTAAAGAGAAGGGCCACAGAGATGCTCAGAGGGCTGGAAGACAGGCTGAGACTTGGGATTGTTGAGCCTGGAGAAGAGAAGGATCCAGGGAGACCTTAGAGCCCCTTTCAGTCCCTCAAGGGGCTCCAGGAGAGATGGGGAGGGACTCTGGATGAGGGAGGGGAGCCACAGGAAAAGAAGGAACAGTTTTAAACTGAAAGAGGGGAGACTGAGATGAGATCTCAGGAAGACATTCTTTACTCTGAAGGTAGTGAGACACAGGCCCAAGTTCCTCAGAGAAGCTGTGGCTGCCCCATCCCTGGAGGGGTTCAAGGCCAGGCTGGATGGGGCTTGGGGCAACCTGGTCTGGTGGGAGGTGTCCCTGCCCAGGGCAGGGGGGTGGAACTGGATGATCTTGAAGGTCCCTTCCAACCCAAACCATTCTGTGATTCTATCATTCCAAAGAAAAGACAGAGCCAGGCTCTATCCAGAGGTTACAAGGCAAAGACAAGATGCAACAAAGGTTGCAAGACAGGACAGACAAGAGAAAGACAATTCACCATGAAGGTAGTCAGACATGGGCAAAGGCTGCCCAAAGAGGCTGTGAAATCTCCTTCCTCAGAACTACTCAAACCTTGGCTGGACTTGGGACCTGAGCCACTTGCTCTAGTTGGACCTGCTCGCAGTGGGAGGTGGAACCACACGAGCTCCAGAGGTCCATTCCAAACGAAGTTAGTTAATGATTCTGCTGAAGGGGAGGGATGGTGAAAGCACAACGCACAAGCAGAGTGGCTGAGTCAATGGTTGCCAAATGCTCTGTTTGCTCTATTTTAAAATTACAAAATAATGAACCCCACAAATAAATGTACAAGTATATAATTTAGAGGCAGTCAGGAAAAGTTAAGATAAACTAGGTCTTTTTCTCTCCTGTTAATTGTCACAAATGCTAATCTCTGCCTTTGTTTTTTATCATTGCCTTCTATTTGTTCCTGATCATTCTTGGTTCATGTTGTTAATTCACTTTCCTGGGAGAGCTCCCTCCTTTCCATGCGCTCTCGGAGCATTCACGACATTTTACTGCTTTCTAGTATTTAGTTTAACTAACAATATTTTACAAGATTTAATTAATTGAGACCCTAATACAATTTTCTATCAGTATTTCTGCTCCGGATTAGTGTCTTAGACGGCATTTCACCCCTGCTTGAAGCCAACGTCAAGCGGGACCTCTTTGGTTTAGTCCTTTCTACATCACGACAGTTCCTTGTAGCGTGACACGGAGATGTGGATACGGAGAGATGGATCAGAGAACTGAGTTGGCTGAAAACTAAGGCAAGGGAAAAAAAACCCAAGTGATGCCAGCCACATCAGTCCCCCGAAGCAGCCCACCATGGAACCACGTGGCGTTTGGGGCTGGCAGAAGGATGTGGGTTTGGCTGAACCATTCCCCTTGGCAGCCGTCCATGCTCACGTCAACTCAAAGGGATTGCAAAACCCAAGCCATCAATGATATTTATTGGAGTCCTAAAGAGAAAGCTTTCAAAGAAGGGGATGGGAAGCAAGAGATGATGCCAGTTACTGGAACCCCACAATAATCTTCAGTTTTCCCCACTATTTCCCTTCTACAGCAACTTCTCATGCTGCTTCTTGGGTTGACCACAGAAGTGGTCACCTGAGCCTAGAGTGACACCGGCCCTACATGCCAGTCTCCCATTTCTTTCTATTCTATTTTAGAAGCTCCCACTTTTGCAATAATTTCTTAATTCTGTCCCCAGATGTATGTGACCACAAGAAACAACTTTTCTTCAGAGCTACTGGTACAATGGGGGAACAAATAAAGGGTAACGTGCTGGAAGAGAAGAGAACAGATATTACTTTAGATTGATATATTGGAATGGAAAATGCATTTTTTGTTCTTTGAGCTGTTGTCAGCTCTCTCTTGACTATTTTTTCACCCTCTCTTCCTATCTACTTTCTGCTTTAACCAAGAAATATGTTAAAATATTCCTCAGAGGCAGCTGCATGATGAATTTGACTCTCTCTCTTCAGCTGGAAACACTCACTATTTTGAGGATTCTTCAGTTTTATTCTTTAATAAAACCAGACAATTACATTTCTAAACCAAATCAACTCATAAACTGTTCATCAGCATCGCCGGTTTTATTATTATTTGGCAATGGAAAAGGGTAGGTTTTTGAAGAGGTTGTATTAGGGGCCTCTGTAAAGATGAAATAACTTAATTGCATTTCCTTAAGGAGATAAAGACACAAAGAAAATATCTGTAGTCTTTTCACAGTAAACGTAGAACAACTTTCAGTCCTTTTAAGTTTCTTGGTGCAAAAGGACCGCGGTTTATTAATTTAGTTCCACAATCAGTCATTGTTAATATGCAATGGTTTTACTGTGAAGGAAAACTAAATTAAATGGAATAATGGAACAGAGGGGTGATTCTCCATGTCGTGTTTGCTGCAATAGCCAATCGTGCAAGATAAGTCAGAAAAATATAATCTTATCCTCACTTTCCCTGTGATTAAAACAAGTCCTTACAATTAAATTAATAGGAAGTTAAAGATAAATTTTAGCATAGCAATGTAAGAGATGGATGTTGAACCTTGTTTGGCAGCAAAACCAAAACGTGAGCATGTATAATAATTATTAAATTAAATCAATTAATTTGTTACCCCCACTTTTCAAAGACGAATGTTTTCACTCCGATCTGTCTAATCTTCCTTATGTTTAGGAGTGTGATTTTGGAGCCTTTATTTTGTACGTAGTACAGAAAGCTGTGTTTTCATCTAATAAATCATGACAACTAATTCAAATACTTAAAACTGTTAAAACCTGCATCTCGCTCCTGTGATGTTCAGAAATGACAGAATAAACATGCTTCTGCCAAAGTTGGTTCCTTCAGCTTGACTCAGAGTTTGTCTTTTGTTTTATCTAAAGGAACATTTCTTCTTCCTTACAGATAAAGTCCACAGTCAGAACAGGAATAAAGAGCTTGCGAGTGAGCTCAAGCAGATAAAGAGTAGTGCCAAAGGACAGCAGGATGTGACACGGGGGTCCCAGACAGCATACCTACCCAACAATACTATTCAATGCACTTAGAAGTCAGGTTTTTAAGCATGCAGCCTTCGTGGGTATCAAAATAACAGTTAAAATCAGACAGAAACCTTAACTGGACAACCTGAAATACACGTCTTGAGAAGCCCTCCCAGATACTCTCAGATTCTAGAGGGAAGAGTCATGCTTTAAGTGCTGAAATGATAAGCCATTAAAACAGTAGAGCAATGACAGGGGATTTTAGATGAAGTATTATTCATGTGAATACTACTCTGGATGTAAATTAATGTATAGGTACAACAGGTCTTCCAAATCTGCCATGGTTTAGCAGAAATAAAACACACACATGCAGACACCCGAGGCTTCCTACCAAACGAAGCCCCTCAAGTCATCTGGGTTACAAAGCAGCAGAATTCTCTCTTTCACCCCACCCCGTGTTAAAAATGTGTTACATCACTGAATCCAACAGAAATACACTGCCTTAAATACGCTCTTCAATGACATAATCCTAAGTGGCCAGGACGGTTTGTCTTTCTGGATCTTCAATGACATAATCCTAAGTGGCCAGGATGGTTTGTCTTTCTGGACCATTCTTCTTCTTTGGAGATTTTCAAGCCCCGCCTGGATGGGGTCCTGAGTGACATGCTCTGACAAGCTCCAGGCAATCCTGCTTCAGCAGGGGAGTTGGACTAGATGATCTCTATGGTCCCTTCCAACTCTAAAAATTCAGTGAAATTCAGTGAAATTTCACAGCACCCTCCAGCTGCACTTTTTCATTTCATGACTTCTTCTGAAGGGTGCCTACAGAAGAGCTGGGGAGGGACTCTTTGCCAGGAGGTGTAATGATAGGACAAGGGGAAACGGTTTTAAATTGGAAGAAGAAAGATTCAGATTAGATCTCAGGAAGAAATTTTTTACTATGAGGGTGGTGAGACACTGGAAGAGGTTGCCCAGGGAAGCTGTGGCTGCCCCATCCCTGGAGGGGGTCAAGGCCAGGCTGGATGGGGCTTGGAGCAACCTGGTCTGGTGGGAGGTGTCCCTGCCCAGGGCAGGGGTGGGACCTGCTGATCTTTGAGGTCCCTTCCAACCCAAACCATTCCATGATTCTATGACGCTGCTCTTCATTCTAAAGGCAACCCAAACCACTCTATGATTCTATGATGCTGCTCTTCATTCTAAAGAGAAGCAGAACTGGCTTCAAGAAGGGGATTTTGTGCTCTTTACCTCAAGCATCATTGGTCCAAGCGCATCCTTGTCGATGACACTCTGACCCGTAGACGATACATCCGCTTTTTGCACTTCATCTTCGTTAGCTGCTGCTGCTTTTTCTGCAATAAAACAAACGTGGATGTTAAATGATTAAATGACAAAGCAGTGAGACAGGGTGAGAGCCCGCCGAGTGTTGAGACGGGCTGTAAAACAGCTACAGCACAACAGATCTGAAAATGAGATCAAACAGCCTCCCAGAATGATTCAACAGAAGCATCACTAGTGTATTTGCTTCTCAGGTCTGCAGCTTTATGACACAAACTAAAAAATTGGTGCTGTCTCTCCACCAGATATCTTCCTAAGGTAGAAAATCTAACGCTGGGCAAAGGCTCCTCAGGAAGAGGAAAGGCTCCAACTCTTGAATGAGCAAGAACCCCAGGATCAAGGTGCACCAAGAGGCTGATGTGGAAGAGCAGGCGAAGCTCACAGCTGCACAACTTTTTCCCCATGGCTATATTTAGAAGGATAAAAACACAAGGCTGCAATCTACTGTTTCAGTACCGAGAAAGAGCCCTCTCAGTTTTCCGTTCCCATGCCTCCACCCACATTTTTACTATCAATCACATCGTTTTCGTGCTGCCCCATTTACCAACGTCTTATTAAAACTACACGCAGTTTCAAGCGCTGCATTTGGAAATCACAACGATTGAAGGTTTCTGGAGCCTGATGCCACGTTTTACAGTATGTTATATACTGTATCACTCATCATAGCCAACTCCAAACTTAAGGGATATTCATTCATACTGGAACTTTCAAATCAGGAGGGTTTATAGCTCCTATCAAGTAACAGAGTGTATTAATTTTTCTATTCCACGAACGATATCGGCGTTTAAGGGAGAAGCAGTAAAAGTAATAAAAAACACAATACAAAATACATATTCTCCATTCTAAGTTAATGAAATAAGTAATTTTTTCGTTGTTGGTTCTACACTGATAACATTCTTTTACAATTTTTCAAGCAATTCTGTAAAAGCTAGGGCTATACTGCAATCTAAAATATTAAAAATCATTCAAGACCTTTTATTTTTAATGTTACACAAGAAATTATTTTAATAAACATGAAAGCACACTGAAATTACGATAACAAGAATTTATGCCTTCTACATCAACAAACCAGGAGAAGATTTCTTGTAGGAATTACTGAAAGTACCCCGCGCAGAAGGAGCAAAAGGCCTTTGGAAAAATCACCCTTACTGAAAATTAAAGCATCAGCCACACAAATTAAAACGGATCCAAATGCAGAGTATTTCCCACCTATCTGTAGATCTGCAGTACTGCAGCCAGAGTTCCTCTGAACTCTTTCCTGGGCAGAGGATACAAGGTGAGTGTGGATATATGTAACTTGGACACAGAGCAAAGGAACTGCCCCTGGAACCCCTGGGTCTTCTCCTGCCAGCGACCACCTGCTGCCAATCAGGCTTTGGTCACTTGGGCTGTCACGTCTGAGACTTCTATAGTTTCTTGCTTTCACGAAAAAAAAGAGTCACGAAAATCTCAGCTGCCTCTTAGGGTGTGTTCATACACAATATAACACTGTTGAGCATAACGATGAAAACAAAATTGTTGTGAAGACGGACTGTTGCAACTAGTGGAATAATTTATATGACTTTGATTAGCATAATCTGATAGGAATAAATATGCTAGAAGTAACTATTAACGCTTGCTCTGCCACTTAAACTCACCAGGACACAAAACTAGTGAAATTATTTCTGGTTTGGACTGAGGACTGCAGTGGGGTTTTCCTTTTTTTTTTCTCTTTTATTTTATTTTCTTTCGCCTTCTTTTGGCAAAAAGCAGAGATTAGATCTAAGAGGAAAAAAAAAAAAGAACAATCCTTCCCATACTACAATACAGCAGAGTTGGCACCACACGATGATACAATACTGAAAACTATTCTCAAAATTATGAAAGAATTCTGAAAGATTCTAAAAATAGGGTTGAGCTTTGAATGAAGTCGCCGATGCTCTTTTTGTTTCCCATCTGTTCCCGGTAGCAGAAGGTGATCCCTGGTTTCACGCTGCAGAATATCATAGTGGCTACAGATACCAGTCTCCTGCTTTTGTCCCCTCCCTGCCCCAGCCACGGACACCATCAGGAACATTGAGGAACATGGGATTATATCCATATGTGAGAAACTAAGGAGCTACAAATATGGCACAGCCACTCTCACAGCCACAGCCTTCATACAAACCACCCGTAAGACACCGAGAAAAACAACCCTTCTCTTTTTGCACACAGGCAAACTTTTATATGAAAGAAAAAGGAGAAAGTTTTTAGTTACTAGAATGGTAATCAACCCAGAAGCTGCAATATCAGGACAGACCAAGGATCTGTCGGACAGACCAACCATTGGGGTGTTCAGCCTGGAGAAGAGAAGGCTCCGGGGAGACCTTAGAGCCCCTTCCAGTCCCTCAAGGGGCTCCAGGAGAGATGGGGAGGGACTCTGGATCAGGGAGGGGAGCCATAGGATGAGGGGGAACAGTTTTAAACTGAAAGAGGGGAGATTGAGATGAGATCTCAGGAAGAAATTCTTTGCTGTGAGGGTGGAGGAAGAGGTTGCCCAGAGAAGCTGTGGCTGCCCCATCCCTGGAGGGGTTCACGGCCAGGCTGGATGGGGCTTGGAGCAACCTGGTGTGGTGGGAGGTGTCCCTGCCCAGGGCAGGGGGTTGGAACTAGATGGTCTTCAAGGTCCCTTCCAACCCAAACCACTCTATGATTCTATGAAATTAAGTGGCCGAGAGCTTCAAAGAGGCTATGCATTCAGGCCTAAGGTCCCTATACATGTATTTAAGCAGCACTGTACAGGAAACCTGGCCTCAGGCAGCCTCTGAGTAGGACCAGCAGATGCTGCACATCAATGTTACAAACTGCAGCTACTGATCATAGAATCATAGAATCATTCAGGTTGGAAGAGACCCTTGGGATCATCGAGTCCAACCATCCACCCTACTCTACAAAGTCCTCCCCTACACCATGTCCCTTAGCACTGATAACGTTAAGCTGCGCAGTAAATTATCCTTTTTTGCCTGAACTACAAAGCCCCTCGTGAAGCCTCCATCAGCACATACAGGAAAAGTAAGTGTGAGCCCTTGTCAGCAGGGTCGTCCTGACGGAGCCACGTGGGGAATGTCCTGAAACGCAGATCTACGGCACGTGGGGCTGATGGAGAACAAAAATTCCTTGCAGGAAGGTTAGAAAAAACCAGCAAGTGATGGACGAATTTCTAGTGCTGACAACACCCCAGCATTTATCATGAGTCACTATTTTTTGTTTTTCTTAACAGTTCCAGCTTCTGGTGTTAAGTCCTGGTGCAAAAATGTAAAGTTTACTTTTCCTTTTTTTTTTTTCCCTTCTATCTTTTTTAGGTTGACTGGGGCCCCTACGGAAAACTCCAAAGCACAGAGAGTTTATTATTTCTCTGCTAGATTAATGATTTTTTGAATGCTAGGGGTTAGGAAAATAGCTCCGGAGGCCCAACCTTGCAAAAACCTCTCGGAAGCCTTTTTTCCAGCCCCGTGGGAATTGCTGGCATTACCCTGTGACTTAACCACAGCCGCCAGATTTTTCCACCGCCGCCGCTAAACCGGAGAACGGGAGCCCGTTCCCTGCTCCGGCACCTTCCGGCGACACCGCCTCCTGGAACAAGGGATGCCCCTGTTGGATGTAAAAACGTTGGGAAAAGAGTTCCTGGTCATCCCATGGACATGGAGGAAGAAAAAAATAAGAGAGGAGGTTGAGTATGGAAAGAGAAAAAAGAGCCTTGTGCCATCTGTGGCTGGAGAGCTGCCTGGAAGAAAGAGACCTGGGGGTTGTAGTTGACAAACGGCTGTTGACAAACAGTTGACAAACTCGAGGCCTCACCTCAAGTACTGTGTCCAGTTTTGGGCCCCCTACCATAAAAAAGACATTGAGGTGCTGGAGCGGGTCCAGAGAAGGGCGACAAAGATGGTGAGGGGTCTGGAGCACAAGTCTTATGAGGAGAGGCTGAGGGAACTGGGGTTATTCAGCCTGGAGAAGAGGAGGCTGAGGGGAGACCTTATTGCTCTCTACAACTCCCTGAAAGGAGGGTGTAGAGAGGTGGGGGTCGGTCTCTTCTCTCAAGTCACAGGCGACAGGACGAGAGGAAATGGCCTCAAGTTGCGCCAGGGGAGGTTCAGGCTGGATATTAGGAAAAATTTTTTCACGGAAAGGGTTCTCAGCCATTGGAATGGGCTGCCCAGGGAGGTGGTTGAGGCCCCATCCCTGGAGGTGTTCAAAAGACGGGTTGATGT